GAAAAGCCTTCAACTTTTATACCTGACATCAGGAGAGATACCTATAATCATAGCACCCTGGAGGCTGGGGCATGAGAATCTCAAATTGAAGGACATCCTGAGCTTTATAGTGAGTTCATGGCCAGTCTGGAATATAGACTGAGACCCTGTCTCAGGCAAATATAGGAGGTCTGGAGAGATGGCTCAGTGGTTAAGAGCACTGGCTGCTCTTGTAGGAGACCCAGGTCCAGTTCTTGGCACCCACAAGGCAGCGCAAAACCACCTGTAACTCCAGTTCCAGGTGATTGTCGCCCTCTTCTGGCTGCTGCAGGCACTGCATGCATGTGGTGCTCAGACATACAGGCAAACAGAACACCTACACACATATTTTTTTTTTTCAAGTAGAAAACCACACAGCCAGCAAAGCTTAAATCTATTCTTTAGTTCTGGGACACTTTATGTGTATACAGGTGTGTACACACATGGGTATATTTATGCTTAATTTTTGCCTCATCTCTCTTACTTCAATAAGAAGACTTGAAACTCAGACGCACAATGCACGTAGGAAATGGACCAAATTACCCATCTGACATTAAGCCTGTAGTCAACAAGAAGCAATTTTCACACACAGCTGAGAAAACTGACTCGTTGCTGGCTGTCAAGAGCAGTCCGCTCGAGAGCTGGCTTTTCCTTCCACTGGACTCACAGAGCACAGACTCGTGTTTATACTGATTCGGTTTTACTTTCTTACATAGGCTGGGCTCCTTGCCTCCCTCTCACAGGACACCAACTACTCACCTTTGCATGCTCAGACGAACATTTCTAACCCTGCTAAGCCACACGGAGCCCACAGCAAGAGCCCTGTAGTGCGCTGACCAGGACACAACCACAGCCACTACCTACAGGGAACTAAGAGGCAATGTGAACAGAGGCCATTGGATATCAGCTACACATAGGTATCTTTTGGACACACAGTCCAGTCAGTGAGGCACACAAGCCCCTGCACCTGTCAGAACACTCATTCTCAGCTTAGACAAAAGGTTTCAAAGGCGCCCTGGCCGACATGATGCTGAAATTCCCTGACAGCATTTTTCCAGCCCACCCTGTGAGGAACACTGGCAGCTCTGCCCACAGGAGCTCTGTCACTCCACACATGGGAACATTGCACAAAGCCAAGGACAATGGGAGAAAGACATTCAGGAGGCTGGATAAGACACGCAGGGGCTGGAGCTAGGTCTCAGGGGTTAAAACCACTGGCTGTTAGTGCACAGGAGCTGGGTTCAGTTCCCGGCTCACAAGCATCTGTAACTCCAGTTCTAGGAAATCTGATGCCCTCTTCTGGCCTTTGTGGACACTGCATAACCACGGGGTGCACATGCCCCTACATTAGTTGTAACATTTTAAAAATTAGGGATTCTTGAAAAACAAACAAAAGCATTTCCCATCGCATTTCCAATCATTTTGTGATAATAACATTTAATATCTTTTCTTATAATTTCTGCTGCCCTAGCCATCTAGTTTGTGGTAGTTTGTAGGACAGCCTTAAGAGACTCATGAAACACAGAGGCAAAAAGCACCTAAGCCTCAAATAAACAATTTCTTGGCATGAGATTCAAGATCTCAGAAAAGTCAGATTTAGGCTCTCCAACAGGCTGGGCAGTAGTGAGCCACCCATGACAAGAACGCATGACGCGTGGCTGAAGAAACCAGGAAAGGAAAGGAACATGGGCTTTGAGGGTGAATGGGCAGACCCCAAGTTGACATTTACGCTGGGCTCATCACCAAGACAGATACTACTCAAACAAGCCCCGTCACTTCTGGATGGCGACACGTGCTGATATCCCTGGTTTCTCATCCACGTCCAAGAAACACCACATCTCAATGAGCTTCCTGTCTCCAGCATGACATCTTCCCCCACTATGATTCCCCAGTCTAAATCAGAGAGCAGGTGCCACGAGGATAGATCTGCAAGCTGCTGCTGGGCTCTATATATAGCACTCTGGCCACCCTTTGGAAGGTGCTGAGCCTCGCTTGATGGATGACGCTTTGCTAAAATGGTTACACTCGGATTTAGAACAAGGAAAGCGCCCTGTGTAGCATGTGAAGGTGGAAGGAAAGAGCATTTCTGGCTGTTCATTTCTGATATTGATCCTGCTCCCATGTGGCCCTGGAAAATATCTCTCTGTTATGGCACAAGTCTCCATTGGGAAGCCCTTAGGCAATGTCTTTGGGGGCTTGCTGGTGGTGCTTGGGGGAAATAGATCCTTCCTAATTCCAAGCCTGCTAGTAGCTGGGTTAATTTCTAAAGATAAAATAAAAGCATCGCCTTGCTGCACAAGGCCACTTCCTGACACCATTAAATCAAGAGTGGTTCTACACCAGGAAAAATATTAATTCTGAAGATTGTTATACCTATTAGCACACATCATTAAGGAAGGTTACCGCAGGATTGACCAAACACAGCACCGATGCGCTGATACCGCCTCCTAGTAAGTGCCAAAGAACTGGGTTAGATCAGGCTCAGAGCATTTATAAAAAGACTCAAATTTTAATACATTAGCCCCAGAACACGCTGTACAAGCACCAGGGAAAATTGCAGTTGTCAACGTGTGAGTTTAGACTCAGCCTAAGTTCATCTAAGGAAGTAGAACCTCAATTTAGATTTCTTTTTCTTGAGTTGACCCTCCTTCCCTCCTCCTGTGCCCATGTGTTTCTTCTAGGACGGGGGAAGACAAGCCACACAGTGAATGTATTTCGCACAGAGAATTGGGTAGGGTGTATTGATCAGGAGAAGGGAAGCGAGGAGCTCAACAAAATGGTCTGTGGAGCTCTTTCACGTGTCAAAAGATGACTAGAGTATGTGCTTGTGTGTATGTGTGCATGTGTGTCGTGCGTGTGTTATGTGCAGCCATGTGTGTGTATTCAGGACTGGGTATATGCATATGTACTCTTGTATTTTCTTCTAAAATATTTTTATTTATTTTTACCTTTTAATACAAATGGGTGCTTTTCCTGCATGTATGTCTATGCACTATGGATGTCCATGATGCCCCTGGAAAACAGAGAAAGTACTGGGTTCCCCAGAACTCACAACAGATGGTTGTGAACCACGCTGTGGCTGCTGGGAGCCAAACGCAGGTCCTCTGAAAAAGCAGCCAGTGCTTTTAACCACCAGGCCATCCCACCTGTCTTTGCCTTGGCAAGGCTGGAAACAAAGCTGGGGAAAAGCCCTGTCCCTGAGCTACACCACCGTGCATGTACCTCGTGATAACGAGAGGAACGGGAACGGTAGGATGCTTTTATGGCAGCTCTCTGTTGTCCTTCACGGAAAGTCTACCTGCCTTTGGTGGCGGGTGGTTCGAGCCTGACAGGCTGCTCTCTGTATCAAGTCAGAGAGTGGGCTTTCATTTCAGAACACATCTGGTGGCTCAGGCCATTCTATCAAAAGCAGCTATTTTCGTTAAATTGAAAGTCAAGGCCATTTATTCTTCTCAAAACCCGTGCTGTCAGCTCTGCGTCTCGACTGGAAACGCTTGTTGGCACACAGTGGCAAGGCCGAGTTAGCCTTAAACAAGGTGGGATGCTCTCCTCCCCGGGTGTGCCCAGCGAGCAATACATTTACATAAACCCCTGCCCCGAGAGGACACGTGTATCAGTTATAAGGATGAACTATATTTGGAGTAAACTTATTCTGAGGGAAAGAGATGCCAAAGCACTCCCCCGGTTAAGACCTTGTGCCAAAATGAATCTTGTCATATGGCATATCCGTGTTATCTATATATACTCTCATTGGGCACTTGAAGTTTTCATGATGGAGGGCTGTTCTCTTTGCCTACGTTCTCTGAGTCACAAATTAGTAACTGTCTAGGTGGATAGCATTGATTTTTGTCTGCGCTGCTTTAATGGCGCGGCATGCCCCGTGAGGTGCTTCTGAGGTGAGCTGGTACGGTGGCAGCGTCGTAAGCGCTAGTTAATGAAGTAGAGTGGCCGGTTATGCTGTGCCTGAGCACTGTGTTATCATGGGACCCCACTGTGTCTGTGATCTGTCATTGACAAAAAAAAAAAAAAAAAAAAAAAAAAAAAGCCTGTGCGTGTGGCTCATCACTACACCACACAAGCAGTTGATCCTGGGTGTGCATAGCTGAAGCTTTAGGATGAGACCAGGACAGGGCAGCACCCGCCTTTATTTTCAGCACTTTGGGACTGTCCACCTATTTTGTCAGTGTAGCAACAACAAATTCACTTATTGCTTCGTAAACGGTCTCCAGTTAGATGGCGTTTGAAGTGCCAGTAACTATGTAATAGTCCCCTAATTAAATAAGAAGTAATTATCAAGGCAGGGTGTCCTTCGTGATTATTTTACCTGTGCTACTCTAAGATTCTGAGATGACTCCCAATACCTCCAAAATAAATCATTCTGAAAAATCATAGACTTTTACATTGATCTCCCCATTTGTCAGTACCCAGCCTCTGTACCAACTACCCACCCTTTTTATCAATCACCAAGGGTCACATTTAGTTCATTAATACAAAGAAACTTCTATCCTGATACTTCAAAGATGTTAATGACACATAAATTCCAGTATACTTTAGGGAGAAAGGGCACCAAACCACTTTCTCAGAAATTAGAGGAAGCCACATGAAAGCTGAGTTTAGAAGCATGCTCAGTAATCTTATGATTACAAATCCATCTACTATAAATTTTTTTTAGGAAAACATATAATTAAAAGTGTAGAAATCCACATTGTGGTTCTCTGTAAAGCATCAGTTTAGTTATTAAATGGCTATAAATTAGCCATTAGGAGATATTCTTCCAAATGGATTAACCTTTTCAATTATCATTTCATCTGTTTTCTATATTTTAAAAAATCAAAGAAATTCAAGATATAGGCAAGACAAGGCAGTAGAGGATCTGAAACTGATTTGGTGGCTTTGGAGCTGACATAATCTTGGCCTGGTGTAGTTCATTTTGAAAAGCTGCCTCAAATTTCCTCTGGTTTTGAACTTTTTTTTTTTCTTACCACTTTCATCTAGCAAGAAATCATCCTGGTAACGGAACTTCTCTGGTCCACATGCAATAAAAATGTCATCGTCACCAAAAAAGTCCTGAAGGCACATCACCTACAAGAGAAAAGCATGGTACTCAGCCAGGGGTCCACACAGCACTGATCACACCACCACCTCCCCCACCCCGAAGGCCTCTGCATGAAGCCATTTTCCTCTAATGGAATCAACAGGGTGATTTCAAAGGCTGGGCTCGGGCATCTGTTATCAGTAAGGAACGCGTTAGTCTCAGGTCTGCAGGAAGGCAGAAAAGGCGACTGGCCGGGTAACTGTCACATTTATGACTGGATACATCAAGAAGCTATGAGGTAAGAGCTCTTTGTTTCTGTAACACCAGGGAGCCAGCTACTCAGAGCTGGGAGCCCCCCACGCTCCAGCTTCTGAATGTAAGTCCCAACAGAGGGCCAAGCGCATGGTTTTAACAGTAGACCTTCTGCTGGTAACTGACAGTGTTACGTGCCCACAACAATCCCCGACAAAAATAGGATATTATAACAAGTTGTAGTTCTAGTCCATCTCTAGCTGAAATAAAGCTGAAACCCTTATAAGATGGAGAATTTGAAAAGGGGTTCTGGTGAGGTTTAGCTATGACACCAAAGAAACTCTATGTCCTTCTTTCATGCTGTACCAAACAGTAAAACTCTCTGCACCGCACCCGTCTTCCGGTTATTCTTCAACACCAGGGATTGAGTCCAAGGCTTTGAACATATTAGACTGACATTCAGCCATGGAGCTATGTTTTCAGCCCTTGTTTGTTTGTTGGATGCAGAGTCTCACTACATATTTCAAGCTAGTCTTGAGCTGTCTATCCTCCCACCTGAGCCTTCCTAGTGTTGAGATGACCTTCTAACCCCCATGATGACCCATCGTGACCTTCTAACCCCCAACCTCCAACTTCTCGTTGTCGGGTGAAAGAAAATTTTAAGCTAGATGTGGTTTCATGTGTCTATCATCTAAGCACGGGGGAGGCTGAGCGTGATGGACCACCAGTTTGACTTCAAGGCCCATCTGAATACCACGGTGACATTCTATCTCAAACACAAATATCTCAAATGACTTGATGCAGTCTATTCCCAAATGAGAACTTTGAGGTAAATGTCACTTTGCAGTGATGTGTGGTCAGGATGACTCATTGTCGAGCTTGGAAATGATTCTGCAATGTTTTGTTCATGGCATGGGCTATGCTAGTGCTGGAAGGCTGCTCTAGTCTATCCATTCCCAATTTCCTTTCACCATGTGGGTGAATCACAAGGTGGCTCTAGTTCACTTCTCTGTAGCTCTAAAACACCAAGCAAAAGCAGCTTGGAGGGAGAAAGGCTTTATTTGGCTTGCGGATTATAGTTCGTCATCAAGGGAAGGCAAGGCAGGAGCCTAGAGGCAGGAACTGAAGAAGAGACTATGGAGGAATGCTGCTTCCGTGCTTGCCCCCAGGTTCACGCTAACTAGCCACCTTTCTTATACAGCCCAGGTTCACCTAAGGATGGCACTTCCCACTGGGGGCTGGGTCTTACTATTCTAGTTATCAATCAAGAAAATGCCCCACAGGCGAAGCTGATGGAGGCAACTCTTCAACTGAGGGTCCCTCTTACTAGGTATATCCAGTTGACAACAAAAGCCACCAGGGCAGAGCTATACAAATTAGCCTTTTGAGTGGCATTTTCCTCCAGGTGCCTGATACCAAAGAAAAGTACGTGTGGAAGGTGGACGTTGATGCCCTGTGCTCTCTACCTCTCTCATCTGCAGTTCAGCTATGGGCGCCTCTGGGGTTTTGTGTCTTTGTCAGTCTTTGGAAGCATTACTGTGTCACATCACGAAATCTGTGGCACTCAGAGCTGTGAGTTGGGAGACTTGAGCATTCTTGGCAACCAGGTGCAATGGCACGTGGGCAACCAAGGGTCTCTCAGGATGTCTCATCTCCAAACAATGGCTTGGCAGCAATCTTTTAGAGGAAATTTCTCCAATGGATTAATGATAAACATTAAGTATGAGTTAGGAGGGGGCTGTAAGTGCTTTTTCTGCCATTTAAAGATTAAGAGGGCTTTTATCGCAGGCACAGCATTATAATAACTAAATTCCCACTTTCTTCATAGAGAAACCTTTGTATGGCAGAGAGTGCCCTCCACATTGCTCCTCTTTCTCTCTCATTCCAGGGCCGACCTCACTTACCTTGACATCAAGCTTTCTCTACGTGTATTCTTGTCATCTATCCAACCATTTACCAGGCATATCCCTTTAATATGCATATGTTTTTAATAAATGCATGGTAGACGTGAGATAGCATATGGCCCAAACATAAACATGAGTTAGGCGTGGGCTTTCCCTCGGGCAATGCTGAACACTAGTCCCCAAAGTGAAGTATGCCCTTAAAAAGTGGGTGGTAAATCGAGCTTATGCAATTGGAGGTCCTGTGTCCTTGTTCTGAACTCCAAATATTCTTAATGTGTTGATGTGTACCCAAGCCCAAGAGAAGAGAAGGAAAACCAAGATTCTAGAGCATGAACCCAGCAGTGTTTCTTCCACAGCAGCATCTTACAGTGTTCTTTTAAGAAATGTTTAAAAGACCAGGTGCCAGGCATCTGGGCACACAGTTATAATTCCAGAGCTTTGGAGGCTAAGGCAAGGAGACTGAGTTTGAGACCAGCCTGGGCTGCAGAGTAAGACGCAGTCTTTAAATAACACAGACCAACTAAAACATAGGATTCGAGGACTGCCAGGGAAGACCTATTACCTACTCTCTCCCCAGGTGGCCATGTTCCACTAGAAATATTTAGGTACTAGTTTATTTATTGAAACTGTTGTGCTGGGCTTACAGTTGTCAAGTTCTGAGCCAAATACTAGGATCTTTTTTTTTTTTAAATCTCTGGTTGGGGGCTAAGGACATACAGTTTGGTCTACAAAGTGTTCCATCAGCACAATGGCCCAAGTTTAATCCCCAGAATCCATTTTTTAATTAAATTTTTATTTTTTTATATTAGTTACAGTTTATTCACTTTGTATCCCACCTGTAGTCCCCTCCTTCATTCCCTCCCAATTCCACCCTCCCTCATCTCCTCCCTGCCCCTCTCTAAGTCCCTTGATGGGAGAGGTCCTCCTTCCCTTCCATCTGATCCTAGCTTATCAGGTCTCTTCAGGACTGGCTGCAATGTCCTCCTCTGTGGCCTAGCAAGGCTGCTCCTCCCTCGGGGCGGGGGGTGGGGTGGGGAGAGGTCAAAGAGCTAGACACTGAGTTCATGTCAGAGACAGTCCCTGATCCCCTAACTAGGGAAGCCACTTGGATTCCCCAGAATCCATTTTTTAAGGCCAAGTACAGAAGAATACTTATAATCCCAGTGTTGGGTAAGCAGAGGCATGTAGAGCCTAATTGATAAGCTTGAAACAAGCTAGAGGTTGCCCAAAAGAAACATGGTACCCAAGGTTACTCTGGTCTCAACAGGCGTGTACGTGGGTCCATACCCATACACATAGGCGCAAAATGTACACATACACAAAATTTCTTATAGATCAAAAGTGATGTTTTCTGAAGGAAATACTCTTTCCTTCTTCCATATGCTACCATTTTCATTACAGGATGTCAGGCGACCACTCAACCATAGTCAACTGCGTGTGCATGTCTCTGCTAAGTGTGTAGATAACCAGCAGGACTACAACATGTTATAAGTTGGCTGCAGCCAATGTGCTTCCATCATTCTCCTCATGGCCATTTTCCAAGTTTTAGGCTCAGAGAACACAACAGACAACAAATGATCCAGCTTGGACAGTTTAAGCACAATTCTTTTGGCAAGTGAGAAATGAAACATGATGAACTTTTGATGTTCCTTCCAACACTATGATTCCAAGAATATGAAAAGAACACAGTGATTGCTAAAGAAATTATCTGTCATCGCTCAGCAGAAAAGACACGGGGAAAAAGTCATTCCGGTGTCAAGTAGCATGTACTCATTTACCGCTCAAGTTTTGGTGAATGGAATCAATGAAAGCAAAGTGTTAACTGTCTGACGCTCTAGAGGTTTTCTGCTGAACACAATTCTGCCTCCTTCCTGTTTACAACAGCCCACCAGAAAATGGCAGTAAGCTCAGGAGATGGAATTAAAAAACAAAGCCACTCCTTGTGAGAAACTGTGACAAAAGAGCTGAGGGCAAAAAGGTTTAGATGAAAGGTTGAAAGAAAAGAGGACTGGGGGAAAATTGCTGCGTTTCAGTTACCCACACACTCTTACTCTGTCATTGATTGAGAGGCCACAGTAATGTAGTCCAACAGAGTACATGTACATGTAGTCTAACAGAGGAGTATCAGGGGTAGTTCTGTTCGTACCCCATTTTCTCTGGGAAAATTCAATGAGGAAACTTTCCTTGAGTTATTTCTGAACATTCTAGCACCAAGACGTTATAGAAAGTAGAAAAATGTAAAACAAGGTTTGCATAATAATCTGATCTTGTATCTATAAAGTGTTAATCATTTTACAACTCTAAATATTCAAAACCCAGCTTAGTTACCAGAGTTCAAATATAAGGTACATTTATGGGCAAAGAACATACTTCATGCTACAGCAGGCCATGAGTGTGGATCTCACCTGCCAAGAAATCTCTGCTCAATTGTTATGAGAAGTATCTATCAAAGATAAGGCAGACATAAGGAGAAATACCAAATCTGAGAAAGCAAACATACTCAGACTGTGAAGAACTGTCCAAGCCTTCCTGTTTCACTAGCAGCATCCTCTTACCTCTTCAAGAGCTAGGATTTCCAGGATCTGTTCTTCCCCATCTCACTGTGAGTTGATTCCCTGCAACATCTCCAAATTCCAGGCAGCCCCAGCCCTCTTCCCCATAGCTGCCATCATCCTGTCTGTCTAGGGCCCATCCTCCTCCAGGAACCTTGGTATTTAGCTTTTGTAAGAGTCTTAATCTCCACCCCCTTTTACTGAAATTCATCCTGTTTATTTGTTGGTCTGTCATTCTTTAGTAAAATTTCAATTTCTCTTTCTGTAGCTCAGAAAGCATCAATGGCTTATAGTCATCAACTAGTCTGTCTTTTGGAACTGGCATTTCAGATGCCCTCA